TGTAGGAAAAGGCTGCTAAAACTTTAATTTTTTTTTGTTGGTTGTGGGGCTTGAACTCTGGGCCTGGGCGCTGTCCCTCAGCTCTTCAGCTCAAGGCTAGCACTCTACCTGAGCCAGAGAGTCACTTCCGGTTTTCTCATGGCTTATTGGAGATTAAGAGTCTCACAGACTTTCCTGCCTGAGCTGGCTTTGAACCACAATCCACTGATCTCAGCCTCCTGAGTAGCTAGGATTACAGGTGTGAGCCACCAGCGCCCAGCTTAATATTATTGTAATAGCTTCAATAGAAGACCTACATCCTACATGCAGATAATGACATTTTAGCGTCTTTCTTAAAGTTAGATGCACAATCTATTCTTTGTAATTATTTAGTGCCTTGTCTTCTTAACTACTTGTGTTCTCTTCCATTCAGTTCAATTCCACTTTCTCCTTCCAGCTTCCTAAATCCTATCCTTAGGATACATTAGGGTACATTTGCAAGTACCCAGCCTGCTTAATCACTATATGGCTAGGGTTCACTATAGAACCTGGAACACAGAAAGGCAACCTAAACTTTTGGTGGCTAAATTTACATGAATTTATACAGTGAATTCATTTTCATAGATGCTTTCAGCAGAGTGGTATGTTTGAAATACATTCCACCAATGTACAATGATAAACTTTCCTTTATCATGACTTTCATCCCAAGCTGCCAGTTGTATCAAGTCTACACTATTGTGAAATGCTTTCTATATAATCAACAATCCTGTATATCCAAATAGGAGCACATACTTTAGGGTCGGAGACTGTTTATGTTCAAACTGTGGCTTTATGCTATACGACATTGAATTAAGTTACAGCGCTTTTCTATAGTTAATTTATAAAATAAGGCCAGCAAAGCCTATTTAGAGGATCACTGAAATTAAATAATCTGGGTAAAATAGATAACATGCTACCACAGGAATAGTAGCCCTTGGTTCTACTAAAAGGGAGTCAACCTTATACTCAAATGTAATCCATCTCTTTACTCTTCTGTGAAATGTGTATATGCTTTCACCTTCATAGCTTGTGTACACTATTGCTTAATTCTTCCCTCTCATAATGGGACTTAACACATGCATCAAGGCCCAAATGAAGTATGACCTATACCATGAAAAGTATGCCACAAACTTAAAATCCATACTGAAATCTCGGAAGATTAAGCCAGTCTTGGGGCTTAAACTCAGGGCCTGGGAACCGTCCCTGAGCTTCTTTTGCTCAAGTCTAGTACTCTACCACTTGAGCCACAGTGCCATTTCTGGCTTTTTCTGTTTATGTGATACTGAGGATTTGAACCCAGAGCTTCATACATGCTCGGCAAGCACTCTACCACTAAGCCACATTCCCAGCTATCCTATACAATTTAGCAGCAGACAATGATCAACTATTCCCTAATTTCTTGTTAGTCTCTCTCTAAAACTAGACTACAAAGTGCTTTATAAAAATAACTAACAAGCCGGGCACCAGTGGCTCACACCTGTAGTCCTAGCTACTTAGGAGGCTGAGATCTGAGGATCACAGTTCAAAGCCAGCCAGGGCAGGAAAGTCTGTGAGACTCTAAACCAGCCAGGGCAGGAAAGTCTGTGAAATGCTTATCTCTAATAAACTACCAGAAAACCAGAAGTGGCACTGTGGCTCAAGTGGTAGGGCACTCGCCTTGAGCTGAAGAGCTCAGGGAGAGCACTCAGGCCCAGAGTTCAAGCCCCATAACCAACCAACCAAACAAAACAAAACCCTAACATAATTTATATTCTTTAATACCTAGAATAATATCAAAATACATTAAAAGGTTCTCAAATCAAACATGGCCCAATATAGAAAAAAAAGAAGCCTCTTCATTAGGATAGGTACAGAAGGACACAGATGGAAGAAAAGTAAAATAAGTTAAGAGTAAGCACATCACAGAAAGATTTTCAGGTAAATTATCTACTAATTTTTTCACTGCAAGTATAACTTTGACTAATCTAGTTACATTACTTTAGAATGAGTAGTCAAAGTCCAAAGTTTCATTTTTACAATTCAAAGTAGAAATTTTAAAAGGAACTTTCTGGGAAGTGGTGCTGTGGCTCAAAGTGGTAGAATACTAGCCTTGAGCAAAAAGGAGGTTGGAGACAGTGTCCTGACCCTGAGTTCAAGCTTTATGACCTACCAAAAAAAGGAAAAGAAAGGGAAAGAAAGAAAAAGAAAAGCAGAAAAGAAAGGCAACTTTCTGGCTTCCATCTTTTCAATTTGCTAGGGGAAGGATTAAAGTAAAACCCTGTTGTGGATTCTTATAACTGTATGCTACTTAAGCATCCACTTTTAAACGGAGGCTTAACTTTGCCAAATCACAAGCAGAACTTAGTCACCCTTGATATAAGTTCCAGTTCCTCCATATACCAGTTCACCCTGGTGATACCTCCCTAAGTACCAGCTAACTATAGGCTACTGGATTAGCTTTTTGACTCTCATATCCTACATGGACTGAGTAGATTTTAAATGACCTCCAGAAACTTGTGTTTAAACACACCAAATAGAATAATTCTCGGAAGATATTTGTTTGGATCATGACTTGAACACAGTAAGGTTTTTGGCCATACCTGCCTGCCTGTCTTCTCTTTTCCTGCTTCTCCTTCTCTTTTTCCTCCTGCCTCCATCTCTATCCCTCCCTCCCTGAGCTATCTGACCTTTCTCTGTATGTCCCAATGGCCTGAAACAAAAACAAATTAATCTTGTAGACATCATCACTAATGAAGGAGTGCTGCAATGTTCTTTACCCTAAATACAACAAAACCCATATAATTGAAAAGTAAGCTAATAATAACTTCCAAAAATATTCTCCTAGTAGTAATCATTAATTGCAATAATTTGCCTTACTTATATTCACAGTTAAATGGTCATGAGAATGTCAAACTGAAGTTTATAAACATGTATTTCTATGCAATGTGTGTAGTAAGATATTTGCTTGCAGAAAAATACAAACTTAAAGTGAAGGATATTTTCACATTAAAAAGGGAAATATGGCACTTAATCCTGGTGAAATTGTTTAACTTTTTTTTTGTCGGTCATGGGACTTGAACTCTGGGCTTTGGCGCTGTTCCTGTGCTCTTCAGCTCAAGGCGAGTACTCTACCACTTGAGCCACAGCACCACTTCCAGTTTTCTAGTCGTTTATTGGAGATAAGAGTCTCATGGATTTTCCTGCCCGGGCTGGTTTTGAACCGTGATCCTCAGATATCAGCTTCCTGAGTAGCTAGGATTACAGGCATGAGCCACTGGTGCCCGGATTGTTTAACATTTTTAAATTCTTTCGTAGAAAAATTTTGGCTAATGTAAGAGACATATTCATTATCCACAAAGTCGATTACTGAAGCTATGTTAAAATGTATACATCTATATGTTTAATAGAGAATTATTAAGTAGTAAAAGTAGAAGATAAATTTGTAGTTATTTTCCTGGTCACTAAAATTATAGGAAAAAAATGTTAACTAAAGTTTTTTTGAAGATATGTGGTTATCTCTGTTCATCACCTTTACAATAACATTCTACATGGACTGAAAAAGATACATGATTGCAATGCTTGAAAAACATGTTTTCTTATAAGACAGTAACAGTAAAATACCTTATTTTTAATAACTACTCCAATGAATTCAAATACTTTTACAATGCACATTGTTCATTTATTTTCTATTTCATTTTAAATCATTTTTTATGACAGTAATAGATTTTGAACTCAGGTCTTGTGGTACTGGTTGGCTTTTTCACTCAAAGCTGGTGCTCTACCACTTGACCCACATCTCCACTTCCAGCTTTTTACTGGTTAATTAAACGTGAGTCTCTCAGATGTATCTGCCCAAGCTGGCTTTGAACCTAGATCCTCAGATCTCACCCCTCTAAATAGCGAGGATGACAGGCATGAGACCTAGCATCAAGCTCACTTATTTTCTTTCACACAGTAAAGTAACGATCCTCATGTTGTAGTACACACCTGCAATCCCAATACAAGTATACATACATATATATTATATATACAAACACATACATCTATCTATATATGTATATGAATGTGTATATGTGTGTGTGTATATATATATATATGTATTACTGAATTAAACATAGAGTAAAAGTAACTCAATCAACTCACTATGGCTGGGAAGTGGCATGACCATTGTCCCAGCACTTGGGAAGCTGAAGTAAGCAAAAGGATTACTTGAGCCCAGGTAGCTGACACCAATGTAAGCAATAAAAGGAAATCCCATGTCAAAAAAAAATTCTCCTATCTGACAAGTTCTACCTTCATTTCCTAACCCCCTACCACAACCTATAATTTGATTAATAAACATTGTGATTTCCTATTTATGACAGATTTTTTTTAAAAAAAACAACACAATTTTCCTTGTAGGAAGTGGCAATTTCTTTTAGTGCTCATTAAGCATCATATGTTCAAAATGATGCTGTAAAATAACCTATGGTCACTTATATCTGAGATGTCATACCCCAAATTATGACATCTTTGAATTTCTTTTAATGCCTGCTGAAACAGCCACATTTATAACAGAAGCAAATGAGAGACTTGTATTTCATTTTTATAACCCAAGAGGTCCAGTAATTGAATTATTGAATGGAAAGAGGAAGCATGGAAATACTTTACAAATAGATAACAGTGAGCATTTGTTACTCTGAATTTCTGTGAGGGCAGGAGGAAATGAGATCTTTTAGATGTCAAAAGCACAAGGACTACAAAACAGTTCTGGCAACATTCACCCATATATATAGTACAAATAATAGTAAATAGTGAGTGTAGGAGATAGTTAATTTAATATGTGAATAAATGTGATCAAAAATTGTAAAATTTGTAACAGCTACTTGCTTAGGCTCTTTGGCCCTTTCCATTGGATTATAGAAAACATGAATACATGCTGTTTTTAGCTAGACACCTTAGCGTGACCACATGTGTCAGGTGGAGAAAGGCCTTGTACTGGCGCCCTGTTCGTGATAGCTTACCCACAGCATTGTAGAGAGGTTCTCCAGTTAATTTGTCCCAGACTACGGTGGTTTCCCTCTGGTTGCTAACACCAATAGCTTTAAAGAGAAAATTAAACACAAGAAAGTAGAAAATTAAAACAAGCAGAAAACTACTTCAAGGGAATAGGTCGTTTAAACACCAATTTTGGAGGGAAATACAAAAGCATTTATTTTCTTGGAGCATCCCTGAGAGAAGTGAACACATGATATCAGATTTGTTTTTACTTCTACATATTCCTCCCACTTAACCACCAGCACACAATGATATGAAACCAGATTAATATCTAAAGGAAAAGCTCCAAGGTTGCCTTAAGGAATACAATAACTTTCCAAGTTCACAATATTCAATTTATTATTGTGAGCAGACCAACAATCACCTTATTCATTTGTTTACCAATTGCTACAAGGAATTTTCCTTCCTATGGCTGTGCATATGTTCATACAAAGATATGCTCTACATTTTACAAAAATAACCATAGGAAAAAAAACTTACATGCTGAGCAACCTCCTGGTTATTTGCAAATTCAGTTTTACTCGTGTGTGTGTGTGTGTGTGTGTGTGTGTGTGTGTGTGCTGGGTGATGTCGCTAAGTGTTTTTGTTCAACGTTAGCAGTCTACCACTTGAGCCTTAGTTCCACTTACAGCTTCTTGGTGTTTAATTGGAGATAAAACGTCTCATGGGCTTTCCTGCCCAGGCTGGCTTTAAACCATGATCCTCAGATCTCAGCATCCTGAGTAGCAAGGGTTACAGGCATGAGCCACTGGCACCCAGCTTATTCCTATATTTTAATATGTCACAATACATGAAAGTTTAAATCAGGCATAAATACAGTATGTCATGGGCCTTTACATTATACCAACCTACATGTAACTCAGGGACTATGATGTTATAATGAGTAAAAATATTGATCGGTACCATATTTTTCAGATCAGCAGGGATCTGCTAAGTCAATATTCTCAAACATTCTAAAATACCAATGCCCAAACCCTGGTCAAAACATTTCAAATTAGCTGACACGGGGTGGGATCAGAACACCAGTACTGGTTCTTCAAACTCCCTAGGTGATGCTAGTGTACATCCATCCCACGTGAGCCACAGCACCACTTGGCTGGCTTTGAACCTTGATCCTCAAATCTCAGCCTCCAGAGTAGCTAGGATTATTGGACTGAGTGACCAGCTAATCAACACTTTTGATGCTCAAATCTCCTTGATAATCTGGGCATGAGGATCTTGATTTCAAGACAAGCATGGTCTACATAGTGAGACCCTGACTTCAACAGCCCAAACTAAATCTCCTTGAGAATTCTGTCAAATGACCACCAAGACAACACTTCCAGTTTCTCAAAGCAGATCTCTACTGAGACAGAAGAAGGAAGAAGAGGAAGAAGATGTGTAGAGGAGGAAAAGGAGGAGATGGAGGGAGGGAGGATTAGGTGGAGGAGAATGAAGCAGCCAGGAGCAGTTCAGGAGGCTAGGACCTGGAGGACCCCAATTTGAAGCTAACCAGAAAAATCTCTGGGATTCTCTCTCTAAAAATAATCAGCAAAAAGCAGGGCTAGAGTCATGGTTTAAGTTGTAGAATGACAGCAGAGCAAGCAATCAATTACTAGGCTTTGGGCCAAAAAGCACTACAGCCAAAGACAAATCCTAGGGCTAGATTATATAACTCAATGGTACAGCAATTGTCTAGCATATGTGATGACTTGAATTTGATGATCCCTAGGTCCTCAAAAATCCTTTTCCTTATAGCTACCACCTATACTTCACATTCATTTTTTTGGAAATACAAGAATAAGGTTAATCCTCCTTTTATATTTCAGTACCTAAACTTGAAGACCTGTCCTTCAAGTTTTTCAATTTTGTTCAACTGCTTCTGTTTCAATATTATGCAATGATCTGTCCACACATTTAAACTCTTCCCTCAGAATGGAAGCCCTGGTTTCAATTCCTCAGTACCACATAAACAGAAAAGCCAGAAGTGGCGCTGTGGCTAAAGTGGAAGAATGTTAGCCTTGAGCAGAAGCAGCTCAGGGATATTGCCCAGGCCTTGAGTTCAAACTCCAGGCCTGGCAAAAAAAAAAAAAAGGAACAATACTATGGCAATGCTCTGACTGGCACAGAACAAAGGGAACTATCAGATCTCCCTTGCTCCACTACTACTTATGCAATGCAAATATATATATATATATATACACACATATATATGTATATATAAAATTTAACACTTTCCAGTGAAAAGGTGTTCAAAAACAATTGAAATACTGCTCCCAAGAAGTTCAGGGGAATAAAGTGCTGTAAATTAACTTAGAGAAATAGGGTAAATGGAAGGGATTCTTGGTTATTTGTAATGACAAACACCAAAAAAAAAAAAGGTTGGAAAAAGAAATAAAGATAAGTGAGGGTGGACTTAATGAGACATGGTCCTGATATATAATGACAGAAGTAGATTGCTTCCCTTCTGGTGAAGGAAAGGAGGGAGGAAATCCACACAGTAAGTACAGAAATTGGAAATGGAAAAATTAGAAGCCCTGAGCATCCACTTTCTCTGTAAAGTCATAGGTGACATTATATGCTCAAACAGATAGGGCCGCGAAAAAGTAGAATTGAAATCTAGGTGGTACAAAGCAGTAATGATAGCACTCAGGAAAATTTAAGTTTGAGGCCAATTTGGCCTATGTAACAAGCTGCAGGCCATTCTGTTTATAACAAGATTGTCACAAAAAGTGTATAATAATAATAATGGGAACAATTCAGTATGGCTGATGCTACAAAGCCTAAATAGCTGAGGCCCAAATTACAATTCTGGGTCTCCTGTTTAATAGTTTCTTCTCTTATAAAATGAAGAGAATGAAAAGTTCTCACTTGAGCTGGGAATGTGGCTTAGTGGTAGAGTGCTTGCCAGCATGTATGAAGCCCTGGGTTCAATTCCTCAGTACCACATACACAGAAAAAACCAGAAGTGGCGCTGTGGCTCAAGTGGTACGGTGCTAGCCCTAAGCCAAACAAACTCAGGAACATGCCTAGGCCCTGAATTCAAGCCCCAGGACTGGCAAAAAAGAGTTCTCACTTTACAAAAAAAAAAAGTAGGGGAGATGAGAAGGGATGGGAAGGGATGGAAAGGGATGGGAAGGGGAAACAAAGGAGGAGGCAACAATGCTTGATAAGAAATGTACTCATTAACTTGCCCATGTAATTGTAACCCCTCTGTATGGTATTTTAACAATTTAAAAAATGTAAATACGCAAAAAAATGTAACTTTTTGAGAGGCACCAGAGTCTCTTGCCTATAAATGTAGTTGCTCAGGAGGCTGAGACCTGAAGATTGTGGTTCAGAGCTAGCCTGAGCAGGAAAGTCTTTGAGACTCTTATTTCCGATTAAATAGCTGGAAGTAGAGCTGTGGCTCAAGTGGTAGAGTGCTAACCGTTAGAAAAAAGAAACTCAGGGAAAGCACGTAGGCCCTTAGTTCAAGCCCCAGGACTGTCAGAAAAAAGGTATCACCTTTGTTAGCTGGGTGTCAGTGGCTCATGCCTGTAATCCTTGCTATTTGGGAATCTGAGACCAAAGCAGCCCAGGCAGAAAAGTCAGTGAGAATCCATGTCTAATGAATCAGCAAAATACTGGAGGACTACTTCTTGCTTATGCCAGCATGACCAAGAAAGTAGAACATGAGAGCCTGAGTTCAAGCTACATTAACAGCACAAAAACAAAAAAATAAAGTTCCCACCCTTACAATGATGAGCCAATATATATCATATGCATCAAAAATGCTACTGATTGCTGATGACATTGTCATTATTACTGAGGAGAGTGGAGTAATAGTTGCAGAGAAGGACACTGAGCTAAGCAGAACACAAAGGAATTCTCCAGAAGCTCTACAAGTATAAGAGCAGGACCTGGGCAATGGGTTGCTACAGTATAGTATTATGAAAATGATACTTTTCTTAGTAACAACTTTACAATGTGAAAACATAATGAATTCATGATCAATTAAACTCTCCTCTTTTCACTAGTTTTCCAGCAAATCAGTTAGCTGCTTTCTTACCTATAATCCTTGAATTAAATGCCTGTCATGCTACTTCTCTTTATTGGCTCCTTCTGGCTTGTATCCAGACTCTAATCTACAGTTACTTTCATCTGATCCTTTGGCCATTGGTTGTTCCCTGACCACTCCTTCTTTCTCCTCTATTTTAATTCCATTCCTTCATGTCAAGTGAAATTGCTTTTCTTGCAGACAATCAAAGCTTCTCAGGATTTTCTTCCAATAACAAACACATTTTAGTACCTTCAGCATATCCAAGTTTTATGCAATGCCTCTGTGCTTTTCCAATGTTCTAACCTCTTGTCACTGCACCCTAAAATCCTGTATGCTTTTAAAGCAAACCTGTTAATTACAGTACATGTGCCTTTCATGACTCTTAATTTTTTATTTATTTTTTTGTCAGTCGTGGGGCCTGAAGTCTGGGCCTGGACACTGTCCCTCAGCTCTTCAGCTCAAGGCTAGCACTCTACCACTTGAGCCACAGTGTCACTTCCAGCTTTCTCTGCTTATGTGGTGCTGAGGAATCGAACTCAGGGCCTCATGCATGCAAGGCAAGCACTCTTACCCCTGAGCCACCTTCCCAGCCCTTGATTCTTAATTTTAATCCCTTTCTAAAATTAACATTCACTCTAGGCATCCACACAGAATGAGACCAAAGGAGGATATTCTTAGGGAAAAACACAAAGGCACAATGCCTATGAGCCTCTGATCATATAAAACATTTATCAAAACGAACCCCAGAAAATGGAAACAAGAGGTGTTTTCTTTATTCTTGTTCTTGTTTTACTTTCTGCCTTATTTGTTCATTTATTTATCTATCTTTGGGAGGGTCAAGGGGGCACAGCAATGGAGGGACAAAGGGTGAACAAAGCAGCTGTGGTACTCACTAGACACTATGTTGAAAATGAACTATACAACTTGTGGGTAGGGCTGGGAGGGAAAAACAGAGAGTGAGGGAAGGAGTGACATTGTCCAAAAAGAAATATACTCATTATCTGACTTATATACCTGTAACCC